CCCTGGAGGAGATTATGCTGAGTGAAATATCTCAGTCACAGAAGGACAAATATTGCATAAGGCCACTCTTGTAAAACAAGACTGACATCAGGGTTGAGGGAAGACTGAGAAAGGGAATAAATAATGTATACTGCATTGAAAGAGAAGAGGGAGAGAACTGTTTAAAAGGGATATAAGATTAGGTATTATTGTCATGACAGGAGTCCAGAACGAAGGCTGCATAGTGGAGTGAACTTGGGGGGAAGGACTGTGTAACAACAAAAGAACTCTTCTTTTACTCTTCAAAGAGAAGAGTGAATTGGGGGGAAGGGGGTGGACAGGAAGAGAAGTGTAACAATGAATTAATAGAAACCCTAAGTTTCTGTAAATTTTCATTAAAATTTTTAAAAAAATTACTATTCACCACAGAATTCCTTAGAAAAATATCTGAGTATTAGTTTAGAAGTCATCAGGCTTATAGTATCAGTTTGCTAAAATCACAATTTCCACTTGAAAGCGTTTATCAATGTTATCAGTTATTTTCCTCAAAGGGATCAGCTCTATGTATACATTTCCAAAACAATGCTTACTATCCCAAATATCCCAAATCTTAGTAGCTCCAGTTTATTCGTCTACCAGTAACTTTTTCAAGTAAAAATGATGTTCTACAAAAAATGGCTACAACTGAAATGATAAACACCCTAAGTGTTTTTCCAAGAGACAACTTTCACACGTTGGTATGCAACATAAGCACTTGATGAATAATTCTACTTTGTCAGAATAGCCAATAAAGAGATATGTGCTCCAATTTCATAAAATATTGTAACATGAGTGAGTCTAGAGAGCATTATGCTGAGTGAACTAACTGGTCTCGTAGAAACATAAACTGAATAATACTATCATTGTAAAAATAAGACGATAACTAGTAAAATATGGATAAAAGTCCAAAGAGTGAGGGGAAAAAGGAAGGAGTTGGAAAAGGGGAAGGGTGGAAAATCAGTAGCTGAGTTTAGTAGGCACATGGGGTGAAGGAAGAAAGATTTAATGTGGGCCCAAAATGGCACATTAATAATAGGCATGGATAAACAGCAATTAATTTTATGAAATACAATGTTTATGAATAATCGCATGAATCATAATGTAAGTTAAAGATTATATAAAAAAAAAATTTTAAGTCTGCATAAAACATAATATAAATTAATTATTACATTCAAACCAATAATAATTTAAAAAAAAGAGATGTGTATATTCAAGAGTAAAGACTTAATTATTGTTTGCTACTGAGTTGGAAGCAACCCATAGCTGACCCTCCTGCCAGTTTTCAGAGGCAGTAAATGGCACAAGAGGAGACTGCCCACCCTTCTCCCGCAGAGCAGACGATGGATTTGAACTCTATGCTTTTGGGGACTGCAGTGCAGCTTCTTCCCAATAGGCCACAAAGACTTATAAAAAGTCTTAATTGAATAGCTTCATGAAAAGGTATTTTTAAGTGAAACCAGGTTTTTATTTTTAAGAAGACAAAAATCTATGAATAAATTGAAATGAAGATTGCCGTGACTAGTTCAGTTTGCCTTGACCGATGCTGACCACCAGCAGAAGCACAAGTGCTTCTGTGCCATCTGCAGTCCTGAATGTCCCTCAGCCCACACTCAGAATCACCAAACCGAGGAAAAGCCAGTGTCACCTAAATAATAAACAATATAGCACATATTTAACTGAAAAAGAAAACTTTTTTAATAAACAAAAGAAGATTCTTCCTGGGGGACATGTACTTGTGTTAACGGCAAAAGCACCAAAGCGGACATAACTTAAAGTAACAGTGGCTATCTCCAGGTTAAGGAGCAGTAAGCAATTCCGTTTCTTGGTTATTTGTATTTCTAATTTTTAAACAGTAAATATTTATTCATTGATATTATACTAAAATTTGAAAGGAAAAAAATTAGACAGGAATTCATTTTCCAGTCATTTAAATGCACCAGCAAGGACAGAGGATCAGATCCAGGCTAACTGCCTGCTCTGTTTTCTAATATTCAGGTCTACCAATGTCAGCATCATAAATCCTAGACCAAGTATTAGT